CATTCCTCTAGCCCCACATTGACAATGCCCCTTCACCCAGATTGTAGGCATTGTAATATAGGAGGTGTACTACTAGTCAGATCACCAGGTGAAAACAGAAGGAGAAAAGTCTAAAAAGGAAAACTAATGCAGCTGCCACATCTAATGATTGGTAAGCTGCATTATGTTACATTTTTGGTTGTGGATTTAAGACTACTATAATGTTTTTCATGGACTGGAAAGGCTTTTTCTTAACACACCTTTCATGCAGGTTCAATTGGTGAGTATCTTTGTGATTTTAGATGCACACCCCAACTGTTGCAAGATTTACCTAAACCCTAACATTTTGGGGTTCTTGGAGACTTCTGTTAGCATCAGTCAGTATTTGTGTTGGATTTGCTGGCCAAGGCAGTCCTGGAACATATTATCGTTGTTTGAAATCTATAACACTTGTAATTTTGTTTCTTAAAATAGAATAATTGAGTTCAAATCAGCTTTCAGTTTTTTTCTGAGGGCCTCTGAGAGCTCTGTTGATCTAGGAATTATGGCACCACACAGGTAAATAACAAGGAAAGCACCAAATCCTAAATTCTAGAGCCACTTGAAGCCTGGATCTCACTGAAAGACTCTCTTGTGAAGGACTTTCCAGGTTGGGGAGGGCAGTGTGACAGGAGGACAGGGGAGGGCAGTGTGACAGGAGGACAAGAGGGAGGCAGTGTAGTAGTGTAGTTCTAAGTAAACAATATAAACTATATATATATATATATATATATATATATAGTTTGAATGCTCCTTTTATGAGAGAGCCTTGCAAGTCTCTGGGATTATTTTGCTAAGGACTTGTGGTGAGATGCCTGTAGAGAATTTAAGGTTTTGTAGGCTTCTCCCTGTTGCCAGGTAACGTAGCGTGGCAATTAGCCTTTGTTAAGGACTAATAGGTCCCCGCATTGGAGTGTCCAATTTTTGGATTAAGGGTGTAACTGCTTACAGTAAATTTTGGAAACACTCATCGTTCATCCGCAGGTAATTACTAATATCATCTGGATTGTTCTCCTGCAACTCTCTCAGAAGAGACATATGAGAGTACGTCTGATGGTTATGAAGCCATTGCTTGCACCATGTCCGTCTTCTTGGCTTCTTCCTGGTAAGGACATTGTTGATAGCCAATATTCCCAGAATGGAAATTGGAAGTGCTGTTTCCTGTATATATCTTTTGTCCAGTACTCCATTTGAAATATGATAATGAGCAAATACATGTGAGAACGACCTAATATGCAGAGAACAATCTGAACGGGTATAGCCAAAATGCGTGGCTACACAGGGATACATGTACATGAAATCACTTCCGATGGCACGATGGAACAGAATGAAGCTACACACAAGGGACGTTGTTAGGGATTGTACAAGAAAATTGATCTGCTTTAGTAGCATTCTCGAATGAGATATGAAAGTAGCATTCAAAGAAAGATGAACGATTAGTTGTACGATTTTCTCATCGTGTGTACTATACTTTAGAACTCCATTGGCTGGAAGGTTGTAATAATACACAATGAAAGCCTGTGGGTGTGTGTAACCAAAAGGCAGGCTTCGTCCACCTGCTGGCTTGTATACAATTTTCGGACACTTTTCAGGCATTTTACCAAGGCACCTCTGAAGAAACCTGAAGGCACCCCAGGGTGCCTGGGCACCCTGGTTGAAAAAGGCAGCTATAGCCTCTCCCATTCTAGTCTCTCAATGGTGAATGTTTAACACAAATCCTCAACCAGTACTGCTTCACACCATTCCCTCGTGCCTACTGACTAAAACAATGCTGCCCCTCTAATACAATCTTTAATTAGGATAACAAAACATCCCAACCACTTCATACACTATTAATATTCTCCAAATTTAGCTTACCACATTTAAAAAAAAAACATAAACAGAATCTTTGTGCAAGTGCAATAATTCTAAATTGTATTCCATTCTTTCTTAGTAGGAACATCTTGTGAACGCCAGTGATTCAGAATAAGCCCTATAGCTGCATTAAATAAATAAGGAATTCATGATTTCTTATACTTGTCCATAGTTCCACAGGCATGCCATTTTAAGATCTTATGATGAGGTATTTGCCAATTTCAGTATTTTAATTCTTTGTCTCTCCTATTTGGGTATGGTGGCTCTTCTGTCTGTGTTGTAAGTATATAATAAATTAAGGAAATACAGTGGGGCAACCTGGGAGTCAATTAATACTTCTGAAGGAACCAATTTCCACTCTGACCATAGTGGTGGGGGTAAAGAGGATATAAATTTGTTTATCTGCCTATATGTCTAACAAGGTGTGCTACCATTTTTATGTAACTCCTGCAATGTACAAACTGTATTTCCATTCATTGCATCTAATAAATTCTACGTGTCCCTCTCTGTCCAGTGCAAAAAATGCTATCTCCTATTCATTCCTTGGCCCAAAATAATTAGTGCTTGTGAGCGGTTATAATACTGAAATTTTATAGATAGGCAACTCCTATCCTCATATTGATTAGTGGGAGTAAAATAGGTACCCTTTGTCAGGAAAATGCCTTGTCGATCAAGGAAGTCTGACATAGCAAATGTAGGCAAAAGGACTTACCTCAGCCGGCTGATTATCAGAAATTCCCAGTTTCTTTTCCCAGTCTCCTTGTTTCGGATTCTTAGGGTCACCTGTAAATCCCCACATAGCCGGCTCACCATTTGTTCTCGAAATTAATACTGAAATTTTATAGATAGCAACTCCTATTCTCATATTGATTAGCGGTTCCAAATAATAATAACCACTGCAGTAGGGAACAGACACAAAAAATACACTCAGCATTTTTTCCAAATAACTGTTCTGTTTATTTGGTGCTTTTGAAGTTTTTTTTATACACATGATTACATAGGTATCCCATTAATATTACAGTTGTACTTTTCTGGTAACAAGGAGCGTTAAATAGGCAGGCTAATTTCTAATCAGGGCTTGAAGGAATGAAACGTAATCAAAACATTATTAGTGGCATGTGCACAATGAGTGCAGTGTGCAATACATAGGCAAAGCTCTTAGATTGTAAGCTCCAAGGAGCAGGGCCCTCCTATCCCTCTTGTATTGAACTGTATTGTTGCTGTATTGTCTCCCTTTATATTGTAAAGTGCTGAGCAAACTGTTGGCGCTATATAAATCCTGTATAATAATAATAATAGTAATAATAAAGCATACAAAATAGAATACAATTTTATACAGAATTTACTGTACAAATTTCCTTTACAATGGTTTCTGTATTGTGTCCCAAATCATAAATACATTTACTATAAGTGGGCTAGTATTCTTATGAAAATCCCAGAACTGGCTTGGTATCCACAGCAGCCTCTGAAGCTGAGCCTCACTATGTTTTTTTCTATTTTAACCCAGGAATGCTACTCTGGAATGCACATTCTGGACCCAACTATAGAATGCACATTCTGGACCCCTTCAATTATATAGGCTATTACAACTGCCTGGTTAATACCGTTAAATATCTGTTACTGCCAGACCTTCTTCTCCCTTTGTTTTGGTAAATCCCGTGGCTACCCACATATAAAAAATACCTGTGCTATGTATTGGGAGCATTTGAAATTCCATATAATATCTGTGGTAGAATACACATTTTTACTATATTTATTCTCACAACTCATGATAACACCCCAGTTCTTAGGGAGTTCAGTTCTTTCTTAAAAGAATTCAATAACAGGATATAATTTACTTTGTACAGGAAATCAAGTGCTGGAGTTAATTTTAGTCTGCCTTGCAAATGGAAATACAGGTTGTAATACTTGTTCTTTTTTGAAACAGTAATATTCAGAATCTTTGACTTTGCCAGATTGATTTTTAGATTAGATAATCTCCTTTACTACTCTTTAAGAACATTTGGTAATACAATTCTAGGATTAGAGGCATAGAGCAATATGTTGTCCAGGTAAGGTGAAACCTTATGCACCACAGCCCTAATCCTTACCCCTCCTATATTGACATTCGACCGAATAGAGGACACCAGGTTCCAGGGGAAAAAAGCAAAGGAGATAGGGTACACCCATGCCTTGTCCCACTAAATATTTCTAAAGGTTGAGATAGACTGCCATTAATACATACTCTAGCTGTAGGATGATAGTATGGGGCACTTATCCACTGCCTTATCTTAGAACCCAAGCCTAATTATCCTAGCATAGCAAACATGAATCTCTAGTCCACTCTGTTAAAAGCTTTTTCAGCATCCATGGACAGAAGTAGAACTTGGGAGCCCTTGCCCCCAGCATTATGGATAAGCAATAGTGTTCTAAGGTCATTGTTTTTCCCCTCCTGTCTAGGAACAAAGGCCCACTTGTATATATTCACTGGATCATGATAGGCTTCAATCTTTAAACATGCTGTGGGGTCTTTGCCCTCTTTTAATAAAATAGTAATATTTGCTAAACAGAGATTCTGTACACATAGTTGCCCCCTCACTCAATGAGTTTGCTTACTTACAAAAATTATTAATCAACGTTTCCTGAAGTTTCCTACAATATATGATGGAATAACCATCTGGCCATGGGCTCTTCCCTACCCTATATTCTTTATTGCCATTGCTATCTCCTCTTATGTCTTTGGTCTTTCCAACCACTTTAAATCTTCTTCAGGGACCCTAGGCAGACCTTCAGTCTGTAGATATTTGTTTATTACTTCATTTCTCCCATGCTTATTTGTATGAGATTGTGCCTTAATAACCAGGTACAGTGCACTATAATACATATGGAAAGCATCATCATGTCCATAGACACACAGAGCGTAGCTCGGCCCCACCTCCTACTCCCCTCTCACTAGCTGTGATTGATAGCAGCAGAAGCCAATAGCTCCCACTGCTGTCTCTCAGCCTATGAGGAGGGAGAGAGCTGAGAGAGCCTCTGCACTATTGCATCGAGATTAGGCTCAGGTAAATATGGGGGGGATGAGGGGAGAGCTGCACTCAGAAGGTTTTTTACCTTCAGTCTTTTGAACAATTTTAAAACTTTTATCCTAAAAGGACAAAAAGTGTTTCTGTAACTGCTTAAAAAAAGTGTTAGCTGAAGTTAGGTTGTAACGTGCTAGTCAATTGTGTAAAATCCATAAAAATCTGTTAGTCCTACTAGTCTACTCTACTCTCTTCAGACCAGGGGCGGACTGGCCATTTGGAAACTCGGGCACTGCCCGAGGGCCCGGGGTCAGCATGAGATGCCCCTGGTACCCTTTTCATAGGCTTTTTTGAGTTTGGGCAAGGACACAGGGGCCCCATGATCCCCTATTGCCTGGGGGCCCCATGAGTTGTCAGTCCGCCCCTGCTTCAGACAGTGCTGCTGTCAAAGGGTGCCTCAATTGTTCCTTCATAGATAGAGAAGCATCCCCAATTCAGGAGTGTGTTACTGGCTGGATTACCTGGTAAAATAAAGAGAAAAAAAGAAAACTAATGCAGCCCTGACATCTAAGAATTGGTAAGCTGCAGTTTATTAAATTTTTGCTTTTGTGTTACATACACTTTAAAGGATAAATTCACCTTTGGGAACACATTACATGTTGCACCCATTTTCAGGGTAGAATATGTAACATGTTCCCATAGCGCAGCCACCACCCGCTGCCCTCCCTCCCTCTGACAGATAGTATGGGAGACTTCTCCCTGTACTATCTGTCAAATTTGAAAACAGCATGGCTGTGTGGGGCTCTGCCCACATGGCCGCATCATTCATTCACGGACTTCCATGAATGAATGAACTGCAAATTCCGTCAGCTTTAGTGACTGTCGGCTTGTAGTTCATTGAAGCTTCCTGTCAGAATATCTTGCTCGTACATCTTGTATGGCAAGCGGATATTCTGACAGGTCTGCAGGAGACCTACATGGCATCAGCAATCTATTGATTGCTGGTGCAATGCTTTCCAGGCTCCTGTAGACAAAAATAATAAATGCACATTTTTTACCTGCATTTATTATTTTTGTCTAAAGGGTGAACTTATCCTTTGAATATCATCACTTCTTGCCTAATCACAATTGGTAGAAACAAAGTTGCTAGCTACTGTATATGTAACAAATAGGCACAAAAGAATAAGCTATTCCTTAAGTCTAAAGTTTGTGTAGTGGGAAATTCCACACATATGTCCCTTAAAATGACATAAGAAAGTCTTTAAGGGCTTGTTCACACTTGACTTCTTCCTAAACGCCCCTATATAAGTGTTAAAAATGCTCCCCAAATGCTCCCCAACTGCCCTATGCGCAGTTTTGAGGCATTTTATAGGTGTTTTACAAGCGTTAAAATCGCACCACAAACGCCTATAATGAATTTATGGTATTAACGCCTCTCAAATGCTCCACAAACACCTGCCAGGTGTTTGAGGAGCATCACTATAGACTTGAATAGGAGGCTCAAGGGGCGTACAATCTAAGGTCCATAACTCGCATTCATACATACACCTACTATGGACAATTTAGATAGGATCCAGTTAACCTACCTGCATGTCTTTGGTTGAGGTGGCAACCCTACGTACAGGATGTACAAGCAAGCAGATACTCTGACAGGAAGCTTCAATGAACTACCAGGGCACTCCACAGTGCTATGATAGTTCATTGAAAACTACAAGCCCACAGCTGCTAAGGTTGCAGGAACTTGCAGTTCATTCATTCGCGGAAGTCCATGAATGAATGATGCGGCCGTTTAGGTGGAGCTCTGCACAGCCACACTGTTTTCAAATCTGACAGATAGTACAGGGAAAGGTCTCCCTGTACTATCTGTCAGAGTAAGGGGTGGCGGGGGCTATGGGAACGTGTTACATGTTCCACCCTAAAAATGGGTGGAATATGTAGCATGTTCCTAAGGTGAACTTATCCTTTAAAGTTATGGAACTGGTGCTTTATTCCCTGCTGGACTTTGGGAATAGAGGTGATGATATCTGACAATATGGGGGAGATTTACTAAAACCAGAGTGTAAAATTGAGTGCAGCTCTGTACAGAAACCAACCAGCTTTCAGGTTTTATTGTCAAAGCTTAATTGGAAAAGATGAAGTTAGCTGCCATGCACAGCTGCTCCAGATTCTGAGTGCTCCAGTTTTAGTAAATCTCCCCCTATAAGACATTATTATTTAGTTGAAAATATTAATTTTGACAAAAAAATAATTTACTGATATTGTATGTTTATTTCAACTCTTTTTTATTGAAATTTTTGGCATACAGGGTAATCATATATCATACATCAAGTCTAGTTCTTGTTGCAGCTTGGCATTTCAACAATGTGTGTGATTTAAGAGGCTCAAATGAATCTCTTAATGATGTCATTCAATAGGTTGTTCACTATATTGTTTGTGTTTGTTTGTTGAGAACCAGGGAAGAATGGAGTGAGGTATGAGAGAGGTATGATGGGGAGGGGGGGGGGGGGGGTAGTGAGAGTAGGAGGGGGAGAGGGAATAACAACTGGGAGTAAAAGTATTTAACAACAATGAACTTGAATACCAGTTAATAGTGTTGTAAGGAGTTGTATCGTAGAATATACAGTATACAATCAGAATTTCATTGTGCAATTTGAGTTTAGAGATCATAAAGACCATTTTTTATGAAACTGAGTGTCAGTAGCTTGTAGTAGTGCAAATCTTCTCTCCATATCACATTGTGTATTTAGATTGAGGATAACTTGGAAAATAGAGGGAGACTCTAAGGATTTCCAAAGTTTAGTAATGTTGTTTTTTGCTGCGTGAAGGATGTGGATGACGATAGTACGTGAGTTCAGAGGTAGTGTGTGTATTCCTATGTGGAGTAGGGCCAATGCTGGAGTAGGACTTATTTTTTGTCTTGTGATGTCAGATATTAGGTGGAAGATGTTGTTCCAGTAGGATCTGAGTGATTTGCAATTCCACATTATGTGGAATAGGGATCCTTTTTCTCCGCACTGTCTCCAACATTGTGGGGTGTGAGAAGGGTATATTTTGTTTAGTCTGTCAGGGGTTAGATACCAGTGGTGTAATAGTTTGAGGTATGATTCCCAGTGCGATGCGCATCGTGATGCTTTGTAGGTTAGTTTGAATGTTTTATTCCAGATTTGGTCAGTTGCTGAATGGTTTAGCATAGTTCCTAGTTGAGTAATGATGGTGCTGGGATTGGTAGGGTTCTAAATATATATAGAGTATTTTGGGAAGAATAATCATTTTTAAGGATGCTATACGGCCTAGTTTGGAGAGACCATGGGTTCTTAGTTTTTGGAGTTCTTTTGGTAGTGTTTGTGTTTTGTGATTCAAGTTGTATAGGTGAGTCGTGAAGGGTTTTAGGTTAATACCTAGGTAGGGTATAGAGTGGTTAGACCATATATAAAAGGAATTTCTTAGGGTTTTTTGCATATATTCTGGTGTGTGTTAGGTTTAGTATTTCAGATTTGTTAGCGTTGAGTTTATAATATGATATTTTGGTGTAGTCATTTAGTATATCCATCGTTCTATGTAGGGATTTAAATGGATATGTGAGCATTAAGATGATGTCATCAGCAAATAAGCTTATTTTGTGTTCGGATTCTCTATATTTAATGCCTGTGAGATTTGGATCTGCACGTATTTTAGAGACAAGTGGTTTGATTAGGAGGGCAAATAGAATAAGGGATAATGGGCATCCCTGTCTTGTAATATCAAACAGTTTTGATCAAATTCCATCAGTTAGTACTCTATCTGATGGTGAGGAATACAGTGACATAATCGCTTTGTGTATCCAACTGGAGAAACCAAATTTTTGTAATGTTTGTTGCATATAGACCCAGTGGATGCAATCAAAGGCTTTTTCTGCATCTAATGAAAGGAGAAGTGAGGGAGTTTTGTGATTTAGCATTTGTGTATAAGTGAAATTAGTTGTCTTGTGGCATCTGGGGCTTGTTGGCCTGGTATGAAGCCAACCTGGTCAGGATGTATTAGCGATGGCAGTATTGTAATTATTCTAGAGGCTATAATTTTCACATATAATTTTATATCGGTATTGATAAGAGATATTGGTCTATAATTTTGTACTTGTTGGGGTTTTTTTTCCTGGTTTAGGGATGGTGGTTATGGTGGAGAGGAGCATTTATTTTGGTATGGTGCCGGAGGAGGCAATGTTGTTAAATAATTTGTATATGAATGGTGTGAGTTTATCTGCAAAGCTTTTGTAATATTCATTGGTAAATCCATCACTACCTGGGGATTTATTTAATGGTAGTATTTTGATGGTTTTCTCTATTTCCTCCGGAGAGATGAGATCTGAAATGGTTTGGAGTTGGTCTAAAGTAAGTTTATCAAGTTTGATGGATTGTAAGAAAGATTGAATATGTTCGGGTGTTGGCTGGGGTATTGTTTGTCCTCTTTAAGATTGTATAGGGTCTTGTAATAGTCTGCAAATGCATTGGCTATGTCTAGAGGGTTAGATACTAAAGGTTGGGAATTTGGATTGTGTACTGCTGGTATTTTATGTTTGAGTCGTTGTTGTTTTATTAGTTTTGCTAGTAGGGAGGTTGCTTTATTGTTTAGTGAGTAAAATGTTGCTTTTGTTGTTAGTAAATATTGGTGTAATAGTAAGGATCTGAGTTTTTTCCTTTCTTTTTTTAATGTGGCCGTGTTGTGTAAGGATGGGCTGTGTTTGTTAGCATTTTCTAGATTTGCTATAGATGTAAGGAGTTCTTCGATTTGGTGTCTCCTACGGGTATTCATTTGTGAGTTAATTTGTATAAGTATGCCTCTAATGTAGGCCTTGTATGTTGCCCATAGTGTAGTGATTGGAATGCCCGGTGTGTCATTAGTGGGGAAAAAGAGATTGTGTGCCTCTAAAATGGTTTTTTCCACGTAGTGGGTCTTTTAGGATTATGGGGTTTAATCTCCATGGTTTAGTATTAGGTAGTTTGTTTGGTGTTTCTAGTGTTATCGTGATGGGTTCATGGTCTGACCATGAGATTGTACCTATTGAGGAAGTTGATATATGTTGTAGAGTCCACTTGTCGGTTAGGAAAAAGACTATTCTGAAGTATGATGCTTTGGCTGGCGAGTAGTACAAATAGTCCTTTTCAGTTCTGTATTGGCATCTGCATATATCGTATAATTCATTATTGTGTAGAGTTTGGTGCAAGCTGTGGTTTGGAAGTCTTTTCCCGGACGATGAGTCTAGATTTGAGTTGCCTATTATGTTGAAGTCTCCGCCCATAATTAGGTGGTCTTGTTTAATTTCTTTGTGTTTTTCATTAGTTGTTTAAAGAATTTGAGTTGTTTAGAGTTTGGTCTGTAGGCATTGAGAAGGGTAAAGGGTGTGTGGTTGATGAGATATACTAAGATTTGGAAGCGACCTTGTGGGTCAGA